AGGTAAAAGCAAGCAGGCTCTTCCTCTGTGTAAGTGGCCTTAGGGGACCTATGAAAATGGTGCACTATTCACTTGGCCAGGAAGCCCACAAAATCATGCAATCAAGAGATTTAAACTGGTTATGGTAATGTACTCCTTTAATTCCAGTACTCAGGAGGCAGAACAGGTGGATCCCTGTGAGATCAAGGCCAGCCTGGCCTACATAGTGCGTTCCAGCTGGGGCTACAGGAAGCCTCTGCCTCACAAAATCAAAACAAAAAAAAAAAGCAAAAAACAAAAAACCCAACACAAACACCAATCAATCAATCAATCAATCAATCAATCAATCAATCAATCAGATTTAAGTCTTCATATTCCCTTTGAGAACATCCATGAAACTACCCAGTATATGTATGTATGTATATTCGAAAAGCCACCAAATATCTGCAAGTTGTCTCTTTATAGAAGCAGCATACACTGTTCCAGAGAGGCCATGGGTGTGCCCAGGCCAAACAGTGGGGCTGGACACAGGGTCGACAGCCTACAATTTTATTGCTGACTTTTTGCCGCACTAGACTACTCCAAGGTGCAGAACAGGCTGAACTTAGGAGTTTACATATAGTTTCTTTTGGCCTGGGGATGTGGTGCTGGAGTACGTGTCTAGCATGCATAGGCCCAGGGTTCAATCCCCAGTTACACACACACACACACACACACACACACACACACAAATATCTTGCTTAGATGTAGATTCTATGGTGAGATGGCTTAGTGGTTAGTGCTGCATTGCTCTTGCCGAAGACTCAAGTTTTGTTCCTAGCACCTACTTCGAATGATTCACAGCTGTCCAAAACTTGTAAGTGCTGGGATTACAGGTATGGGCCACCACTCCTGGTTTATGTGGTGTTTGGGGATCAACTCAGGACTTCATGCCAGGCAAGCACTCTACCAATTGAACTACATCCTCAGCCCACCAATTTTTTAAATTAATTAATTTTTAAAATATTATTTATTTTTATTTTATGTGTATGAGTGTTTTGCCTGCATGTATGCATGTGTACCACCTATGTGTCTAGTGCCAGCTGAGACCAGAGGAGGGCATTAAATTCTCCGGAAATAGTGTTACATAGAGTTGTGAGTCACTGTGTGGATGCTAGGAACCAAACTTGGTTCCTCTGCAAGAGCAGCAAGTGCTCGTAACTTCTGAGTCACCTCTCCAGCCTCCTCCTGCCCTTTTGTCTGTTTTTGAGTTAGGGTCTCACTCTAGCCTAAGCTGACCTGGAACTCATTATGTAGCCCCAGCCTGGCCTTGAACTTCCAGTGATCCTGCCTCAGCCTCCTAAGTGTTGGGATTGCAGTGTGAGCTGCCAGGATAGCTCTGTTGGTTTTTGTTGTTGCTGTTGTTGTGTAGCCCATGTCATGCAATAACCACATAGGTCAAAAGAGAGCATTGGATTCCCCTGGAACTGGAGTTCCAGACAGTTGCTAGTCGTCATGTGGGTGCTAGGAATTGAATCCAGGTCCTCTTCAAGAACAACCAGTGCTCTTAACCACTGAGCCATCTCTCCAGCCCCGGCAGAGCCACATTTTGGAAAAGTCTTCATTCTCAGAGCCGGAGAACTGAGAAGTAAGGGCAGGTATCTGGGACTTTGGTAGCAGTTCTGAGAGGCTTGTCACAGGTCTGAGTCTTCCCTCCTAGCCCGAAAGGTAAATTGTGACTGACCAGTGACCACCCAGCCCAGGTCTCTGAAGACTAGCACTGTGCCTTGAAAACATTCCCCTGTTGCAGTGATTAGTCTAAAAACACCTTAGCCTGGGGTTTGTAGTGAACCCTCCTTGCAGGGCATGGAGCAGAGGGCCCTGGGGTCTTCCTCTAGAGACCAGTGCCCTAGTGACTACTGACTGTGACTCATCACCAGGGTATCTACCACCTAAAGTGCTTGCTTTTCTGGACTCAGCTGGGCCCTTGTCCTCCTGGGCTCTGGGAGATTTTTTTCTTTTAACTCTATTTTATTGATGCAATGTCTACCCAGAGAGTACTACACAATCCTAATTTGCACTATGAATTATTATGTAAGTACCCAGGGGAATGTTTTCAAGCCACAGTGCTAGTCTGCAGAGATAAAGTCTCAGAACATACCACTCCCAGCCATAAAGGGATTCCTGTTCTAGAAACAAGTCCACGAACATAAATTCCCTTGCTGATTGACTGGAGTGGCAGTTGCCGGTCAGCTAGCCATGCCTCATTGGCCATAAGACAGGTCAATCCAGATTGTTGAGGCCGGTTGGTTTCTTCTATATGGGTCTCATTCCACTCCTATTCCCAACACCAACCAGTTGCCCACCATGACAGAACTGTCCCTGGTACTGAGAAGATTGTAAAAATTTTCCCTTCTACTTTGCTTTTTAAATGCAGTCACTTCTGGTTGAGCTAGGAACTTATAACTGGAAGGGTGTAAGGACACAGGGTCTTAGTTTACAGAAGAATCTCCAAGAAATTAGTCTTTGAAGACTGTGCATCTCAGCAGAGCACACGAAGGAAGAGCATCCCAGATAAGTGCCTGGCCTGGCAGATAACCAGCTTCCTCTTGGTACCCACAGGACCATTTTGTGATGTTATGACAGAATATTACAGATCAGGTCATTTATAAAGAAGGCAAATTTCTTTCCCACTGTTCTAAAGGCTGGAAAGTTCAAACCAAGGTGCCAACAATCCTGCACTGGATTCTTTTGTACCCCAACCTGCTTGGAATGAGAATTCCAATTGTCCTAAATCCCAACTAAAGGGAGATTGCACACACACACACACACACAGACCTTGACCAGTCACAAACTGCCACTCCCACTGACTGACTTTATTGGAGTGTTATTAGCCCCAGAACAATCCTTTTATACCCCCAATCATAAAGCAATATCTGTTCTGCAAACAAGTCCTTTTGAACTTGGGCTTCTTACTGTATCACTGCCTGGAGGAAGGTGGAAAGGGGAAAGAAGTGTAGGCAAAGGAGAGGACAAGAGCTCAGATCTGCAGCCTTTTGCTAAGGGCACCAATCCCCTAAAGTGGGTACAGCGTTGTGACAAGAACAGCTCCCACTGAGAAACACTTCCCACCACTGATGCACCAAGATTAAAGTACAACACGTGTTTTCTTTGGGAATAACAAGCCTGCTCACAGGTCCTTCTAGCCAGCTCTAGTGCATGGACCTGTCTGACCAGGTCAATCTCTCCTCCTGGCTCCCCTGCCCCGCCACTCTATAGTGCTATTTTCTGCTTCAGCCAGTTATTTCCCTTAACCCAGTGCTGAAGCCAATTAAAAGCCTTTGGGAGTGGGGGGCTAGGGCTATAGCTCAGTTGTCTAGCACAAAGCCCTAGGTCTGAACCCCAACACCACATAAACCAAGTGTGGTGGCCCATATCTGTAATCCCAGCACTTAGAAGACAGAAAGGCAGGAGGATCAATGTCCAAGGTCATCTGGGTTGGAGAGATGCCTCAATGGTTAAGAGCACTGGCTGTTCTTCCAAAAGACCTGGGTTCAAATCCCAGCACCCACATAGCAGGTAACAACTGTCTGTAACTCCAGTTCCATGTGATCTGATGCCTTCTTCTGACCACCATGGGCATTGTACAACACAAGTGCACTTACACACATGCAGGCATAACACTCGTACACATAAAATAAACCCTAAACAAATAAAAAAAATTTAAGGTCATCCATTCTTGGCTACATAGAGAGTTTGAAGCCAATCTAGGCTATATGAGATACTGTCAGAAGAAAAAGGAGGAAGAGGGGGAGGACGAACCTGGGTCCTAGGATGAAGAGGAGGAGGATGAAGAGGAGGAGGAAGAATTAGAAGAAGGAGGAAGAGGAGAGGGAGGGAGGGAGGAAGGGAGGAAGGGAAGGAGGAAGAGAGGGAGAAAAAGAAAGAAGGAAAGAGGAGAGAGAGAAAGAAAGAAAAGAAAGGAAGGAAGGAAGGAAGGGAGGGAGAAAGAAAAGGAGCCGGGTGTGGTGGCGCACGCCTTTAATCCCAGCACTCAGAATGCAGAGAGGCAGGCGGATCTCTGTGAGTTCAAGGCCAGCCTGGCCTACATAGTTCCAGGACAGCTGGGGCAGGGAGACCCTGTCTCAAAAAAGACCCCCCCCCAATAAAAAGAAAGAAAAGGAAAGGAAAAAACAGTTTTTAATGTTATTTATTTATTTACTTATTTATTTTAGGCAAGTCATTCTGTAACCTGGACACTGGCTTTGACCTAGTGGTGATCCTCCTGCTTCTGTTTCCTGAGAACTGGGATTCCACATGTGTGCCCCCTCCCCTAATTTGAAAGCAGTGTATTCCACATATTTCTTCTCATCCCCTTCCTTGTCACTTGGAATATTCTATTATATCAATGACCTCACCCTAAAACCCAGGAGAAAGGGAGAGAGAGAAAAGGAGAAAGAGAAGAGATAAATTCAGAGAGAGGTGGGTCTGATACTCTCAGAGCATCCCTATATTCCAGACTCAAGATCTGCATTATATTTTTCTTGTAAAATTGTTCTTTCTACCTCTTATGTCCTCTTACGAGGACTAGAAATTTAAAAGGGAGAAGCACTTTCAGGGAAACCTAAATCCTCTCAGAGACTTCAGGCTGCCCCTAAAGAGCTGCGTGCACCCTTGCTCATACCCCTTGGACTCTCTGAACCTCAGTTTCCCTGCATGGACAATGGACTGAAGGAAATCTTCCTTCTGCAGCCCTCAGGCAATTCCCAGTCCCAGCTTTGCTGGATGTAGTCATGGAGCATGCTCAGAAGAACAGACACATCCTCTGGCCATGTCTCTTTGAAATTTCAGAAACCAAACAAGGCTGCCTTTCTGGGCAGAACACAGTATGGGGGGCGGGGGAGGCACGGTTTCTGAACCAAGAGCATCTGCTGTCCTCCCCTGAGTCCCACCTTCAGCCCTCACCCTGGTACCACCTCTCTTTTTCCAGACACTTCCTCCTGTGGCTGAATCCTGGCTCCTCCCCTTTGAGTAAGTAGTTTCTATTTCTCCACTGAGCCCTGCCCTGTACAAAGGCCAGCAGTTGTGAAAGGCAGTGGTGGCCCCGGAGGCAGAAGACATGGCTTTCTACGGCACCCAAGCTCCCTATGTGAACCCGGTGAGTTCTGGGGTGGCTCAGGAAGAGCTGGCTGCCATAGCCAGGGCAAGTTGCTCTAGTTTTGAGTGGCACGGGTAATGGTGGGTTGTCCCACAGAAAACATGTGAAGGACATAAATGCCAGGCAGGTTCATCCCAATGCAAGTACTGTTCCATGCTGGACTGACTGTTCCTCTGGGGACACAAGGGTGGTTATTGTGATCCATGTGGTAGACTAACACTTGCTGAGCTCTCTCTGTGTGCCTGTTCCATCCTGCCTAATAGTATCTAGACAAGGTGGTTTCTATCAAGGGGCATGGATAGGCTTCTGGAAAGGTAACAGCTACCTGCATGGTACCTAAGGTACTTGCTTTGGAGATGGTCTCTCAGGGTTCAGCCATTCATTAGCTGGGCCTCAGTTACCACATCTGTAAAATAGGAATAACCCTTGAGCTCACCTCCTGAGACTGGGTAAGGAGTAAGCAGACGGTACATCTCCATGTTTAACTGGTACCTAGCACACTGGTACCTAGGCACTTTAGGAGAGGTTAGTGTGAGCACAAGTCTGGGGGCAGCTTGGAAGCCCTCCTGAAGAGGTGTCTGTGCCCTAAAGGCCATGTCAGGGTTCACCCAAGGATATGTCCAGGATGTCTGAGGAGGGCAAAGGGGTTGGTAACTGCCCCTACAGTGGGATGTGCAAAGGGCCACCTAGTGAGCTTTTTTTTGCCTGTCTGCAGGTGGCCTTGTTTACAGCCTGTGCAGCTTATTATTCCCACTTTGTGTGCGGAGAAACTGAGGCTTTGAGAGGTTTAGGTACTTTCCATGTGTCCTCAATGGCACATGAAAATGCCTTGATTTTTTTTCCCAGAAGAGGGGTGCTCACAGAGAGAGATGGTGATCAAGAAGGCTAGAATAAGTGCTCTCAGGAACCTTCTGCAATGCACTCACTGTGTGCATGGTTGGAGATGGCAGGGTGCTGTGGGTGGACCGGCTGCCTGCGCCTGGCATCAGAGCCTGTCCCAGTACAGATCAGGGACAGTCCTGGCATCACAGCTCACCCTAGCACAGGCCTGGATTTAGAAGTTTGAATCTTCAGCTGGGCACATGTCGCCAGAGTTCCCTTGGAGTCTCTTGGGCTATCAGGCAAACCATATAACATATCTTTATGTGCATTTATTATTAGGGAGAGGGGAGTAACAAAGAAATGAGCACCCAGTGCCTAAGCATGGCTCAGCCAGGCACTGTGCAGCTCTGCAATGCGGCTCAGAGCCCGTCGTATCTGCTCACTCCCACGGCTAGCCCATAGGCACCACTAGCTTTCACCCACGCCTCAGGGGCCAGCAGTCTTGCCCCCAGGTCCATAAGGGCCAGGCCATTCTGTCTTTGAGTATGCCCGGCTGCTGTGCGATCCGCAGTCGCATTGGTGTTACTCAGGGCTCGAGGTTTCTGTCCCAAGATGGCTTACAGCAGGCCCTCAGTAGTCCATCCTCTGAAGCAGGCCCCGCCCCTTGGAAGAACTAGTCACCTGGGAGACTGCACAGTGGCACACACCTGCAATCCCAGCATTTGGGAGGTTGGGGCAGGAGGATCTCCAAAAGCTATAGGCTTGCCTGGGCTGCATAATGAGTTCAAGGCCAGCCTGGGCTACACAATGAAATCCTGTCAAAAAAAGATGGAGGGGGAGGAAGCAAATTTTTCAAACCAGAAAGGAAATCTTCCTCCAGGCAAGGAAGAGGAAAAGCAGGTCTTGTAGTGCAGTCAAGGAGGCCCTCTGCAAGTTGCAGTCCCCACAGCCTTGAGAATACCCTTCCACCTAGCCTCACTCAATGACCTACTGACTTCTGCAGCCAGAGCCACGATGCCCTTACTGACCCTGTGGAAAAGAAGTGTAACTCTGTCTTACTGAGGAACTGTATCGATCTGGCCAGAGGGCTTGGCTTGGTCACTCTTACTCCCATGTATAGCTGGCCTCCTCTGAGAGTCCCAGGGAAGCAGGTGACCCCTCTGTGTGGCCCGGGTGAGCTGGGGACCAAGGATGGTTCCTCCTGAGGGGGAACCATGTCACCTGTGACTGAGAGTGGGAGTTCTGCTGTTCCAATCCCAGCTCGGTCATTGACTTTGGGAAAGTTATTGACCCTTCCTGTTCTTCAGTTTCCTCATCTGTAGAAGTAACACTAACAGCAGTGTTGTTAGGAGGATTAGCGAGGTGACACCAGCAAGAAAGGTTGGCTGGTGTCAGGGCCTCCAAACCTCTGGGGTAACAGGGCTCTTTGGCTAAAAGCATGTTATCCAGCCAGGCAAATGTCTCTGGTGCCTGGACTGAGCATCCTCCTGTGACAATGAGCTGCCCATGCTCTGGCTTGTAAGGCCCAGCTCTGCCTTCTACATTGCCCAATAGGAAAGAGGTAGAAGTCCTCAGCCTCTGAGCAGACAAGTTCTGGCCCAGGGGAGGTGGGTGCATTTGTCTTGGTGCAAAACAGTTACACAATCAAGGCCCCCCTGAGCCAGGGCTCTCCCTCTGGCATCTCATCTCATCTTCTCAGGAACACTGCAGGCTGCCATTGCTGCCCCACTGATCCCAAGAGGGACCAGGGTACATACAGGACGAGTGATTTGCTCAGTGTCAGAAATGTTAGCACAGGCTACTTGGACACGAGCCAAGGTCTATTAAGCCATAAATCCTGTGCAAAACAACACCACCCTCCCTAGAAGTAGGGATCAAAAGCAGGTCCCATTGTTTTGTGCTCAGACTCCTCACTGGCCACATAGGTCCAAATTCCACAGCAGCCTGAGTCCCCCACACAACCCAGCACCTTGTTCTCCTACCGTTCAGAAGGGCAGAAATCTCATAATGAAGAGTTGAAAAGCTGGAGGTGTGGCTTAATGGTAAAGTGCCTGCTTAACATATGCAAAGTCCTTGGTTTAACCCCCAGCACCACACAGACAATACAGACACACATACAATACATACAGTACAATATACTTATATACATCACACACAATACACCTACATACAATATATATACATACACACAATACACACACATACAATATACTTACAGAAAACACACATAGTACACTTACATGCAATACATATACATACATACAATATATGCAATACATATAATACATGCATCTATAACACACAACATACATACATAGAAGACACATACATATAATACACACAATACACTTACAACACACACAATGCAGATACACACAATACACACACAAATACACAATAAACATATATACTACATAAAAAAACACAATAGTCAAACTCACACATAACACAAATACGCTGGGTATGGTGGTGCACACCTTTAACCCTAGCACTTGGGAGGCAGAGACAGGTGGATCTCTGTAAGTTCAAGGCCAGCCTGGTCTACATAGCAAGTTCCAATCCAGCTGGGGCTACAGGGAGACCCTGTCTCAAAAGACAAAAAAAAACAAAACAAAACCCAAAAAACCAAAAACAAATACACATATACAATACACGCATAACACACACACAACACACATATTTAATAAAATAAAAATCAGCGACTCTCACTTCTTTTCTTGCCATTATTTTAAAAGATTCATTAAAAAAAATTACATATGTGCATACCCACAGAGGCCAGAATAGGGTGTTGGATTCCCTGGAGCTGGAGTTGTAGGTGTTGTGAGCTGCCCAGTGTGGGTGCAGAAAACTATACTTGGGTCCTCTACAAGAGCAGAAAGTACTCTTAAGCATTCTTCAGCCCCTACATTTAAGCAAGTTATTAATTGATTGATAGGTTTTGTGTGTGTGTGTGTGTGTGTGTGTGTGTGTGTGTGTATTCACAGCCAAGTCAGACAACAGCTTTTGTGAGTCAGTTCTCTCCTTCCACCCTTTGGGTCTTGAGGATTGAACTTAGGTCATAAGTAAGCTGCAAGCATCCTTACCCACTGGGACATCTCACTTCTCACTTCTTTTGTCACATCTACTTCCAGAGCCTGATCCTCTGGCTTCCCTCTTATAAGGACACACATGATTACATAGGGTCTCCCTGGTAATCCAGCAATCTGCCCAGTCAAGAATCTCCAGCACATTGGCACAGTCCCTTTTGCCACTTAAATCAACACATTTCCTGGTTCTGGGCATGTCTGGGGGGGGGGGGTGAGGTGCTTCACTCGGACTCTCCTTGCAGGCTTCCAGTGTTATCAGCCCCAAAGAATTCCTCCAGAAATAGCTTATCCACACATTAGTCAATGTGTGCATATAGCCACCCCTCCACCTTCTTATACCAATGTGGTCATCCTGCCCTGGGGAGGTGGTTCAGGGGGAAGGGCATTTTCCACCAAGCTTCATGACCTGAGTTTGATCTCCAGGATCCATGTGATGGAAGGAGAGAACTGAATCCTGCAAGTCATGTTTTGACCTCCATACCCACACAAAATAAATAATAAATAAACAAATAACAAATAAATAAACGCAAACGGGACCCTTCCACTTCGGTGCTCAGTTTTCATCTTCCTCTTTTCTACACTGAATATGAAGTAGTATCATTTATTTCACTTTTGATGGATTTTAGGTTCTTTCCAATCTTTTGCTATTCTTGTGCTACAATGAACAGCCTTGCTTATAAGATTTACTCATGTTAAAATAATCCTTTTCAGAATTTGGAGACACCATTTAAGACACTAAAATCTAAGCTGGGTGTTGTGATACCCTTAGGAGGTAGAGGCAGGAGGATCAGTTCAAGGTCATCCTCATCTACATAGAGAATGAGGTCAAGACCAGTCTGAGCTGCATGAGACTGTCTCAAACAAACAGACAAACAAACAAACAAGCAAAAAAAAAAAAAGACACTGAAAATCTCACAAAATTTTTTTGGAGAACCTGATGCCTCAGAGGTCCATCTACACTGCCCTGCCACCATGACCTGTGTCCATTTTTCCTGTGTCCTTGTCTCCCATACCGTCTGTGTACTTCGAGCCCAACACTATCACATCTGTTTCCTGATCTGTATGTCCTGAGGTGAGCATGTTTCCAAGGCT